GAAACCTTTTTTTTTTTTTGGGTTTTAATCGCGCTCATCATGTCTGTTAAACATTTAATCTTTGCTTGTAGATTTAGGTTTAAGTCGTTAAGTTTGGCAGCGATATCGCAGAGAAAAGCTAGTTTCATGAGCCTTTTCTCATCTTCCAATTCAGTAATGTGCTCTCCTTTCATTTGTAGAAAAATTTTTGTTTCTGGTAAAAGAATACGAAATCCTTTTAAAAAAGCACCACGGCTTAGCCACCTCACGTCTGTGTGCAATAAGAGATCTCCGTACTCTGATTCAGTTTCTTCTTGAACGAATTGGATTGATGATTTTAAAAGCAATTTGCATTATATCATTAGACTTTAGTATTTTTGAACACAATACCTGTTGATGGATAATGCAATGATAGGTGGTAAAACTGGGAATTTCCTCATCATTTTATTGCACAAGGCAATAAAACCAATTCAATTCCCGACCATTGCTGGAGCTCCATTTGTGTGTAATAGAATTAATTCCAATTTATATATTGGAAATCCTGTCTTATCAGTAAAGAGAGAGTTTTTAAATGAATTGTAGATATCTTGGCTTCTCGTTTGTCCTTTCAATGGAATTATAGTTAATAACTCTTCTTTTGAAGTCATATCTTCGAAAACCATTCTCACAAAAATGCATAACTGCAGTATCACTAATATCCGTGGATTCATCAAATTGAAGTGATAGGAACTTACAAGATTTTAAATCGTCATTTAATAAATCCTCCAAATTATTATTCATAGCTTCAGTCCGTTGCATCACAGTGTTACGCGACAAGAAATATTATTTATTGACGATATTATTTCAGATTTGCTTTTAGGATCGTGGAAAAGCACTTCTCCCGCTTTACAGAAAGCTTCTTTTATCAATTCTCCATCTTAGAATGGGTTTTTTCGCTTTATCAAAACTTCTGTAATTTTAAACGACGTTAATGTTACTGTTTTATCTTTGGTGCCTGGTCTCGTAAATATAACGATTGCTGTAAATGTAAATTCGACTTTAATTCATGCACTTTTAACTTTTCGAAGTTCACTGCCGATTGGAATGTCTGTAGCTTATTTTAAGTGCATGGTTTTAAAATGTCTTTCGAAGTTTACTTTTTCTGGTAGTGCCACACTTGAGTTACATATGAGACAAACACATTTCTCCTTCACCATAACAAAAAAGAAATCATCTTCCCACTCATTGTGATAATGGTATGTTTTACTTTTCTTAACATTGGTATCTGGATGAGTCATTTTGGACGGGTTGTTGAAGCAATAAATCATTGTATCAGTGCGGTAGGAAGCGAGCGACCAACAACTCAAGACGATTAACTGAGAACTGAAACTAAACGGGCGGGTGTGACGGGTTGACTAGTCGACTCGCCGCGTCGCTATCATCGCGCCGGCTAATGGATATATAATCTAAGCATCCCACTTTGTCAAGTTGTTTCTATTTAATTCTCCACTGTAAAACGACAAATTCATTGTATTACTTTTCACAGTTTGTTTTAGGTTTTAAAGCGTAAGCTGTAGTAAATTTTTATTTTAAATAATTCATTAATTCTGTGTCATAAGTCATAAATTAAATTGTTAATATCCGAGGTCATTATCGGGATGGTCACGCGGACTACCTAAAATGTCTTCGCGGTCGACCAGTCGACCGTGGTCGACGTCTTGGCCACCCCTGTTATATATGATCTTGGACTATTTTCGTTTTTGTTTGTGTTACTATTTATTCATTAATTAAATTTAATTATTCTAATAAAATAATATAGTAAAAAAGAAATCACATTCTCAGAAATTAGGCCATCCCAGATGAGATTCAAACCCACGACATTTGGATCAGAAGTCCAATGCGTTGTCCATTGTGCTACAGGGACACAGCGAACAATTTTCCTTTCTTTTATATGCCACTAGATTATCATTTATGTTTGTTACTATTTATTCATTTTTTAATTTAAGTAATGAATTAATATTTGAAAAAACTATATTAACATCAAGTGTCATCCACAACAAGTTTAAAAAAATGTATTTGAACTTGAATTGATGAATAGAAAGTATTTCATTAACGATTGAAAGTTTGAACAATATATATATAAGGTTTGAATTAACAGTGCACTTCAAAGAATTCCGATAATACTTAAGCAAAATCAAAGCAATTTACAACAACAACAACAAACAAAAACCCCCACTAAATGTCAACTAAGTATGAAAAATGACAACTATTGAATAAGCAAAGTAATACGTTTAGACAGTTTTTAATTCACATTCTCTCTCTCATTACTATAAATCTGCATACAATTTCAAAGTTGCGGTGCTTTTTCGCTGTTTACTTTCTCATCAGGAATGCGGCAAATTAATTCACAAAATTAAAACAGCTCAATGATTAAAGAAATCAATAGGAATATAATTACTGGGATCAGGGTTTTTAATTTTGCTCATCAAAGTTTAGTGAATGATCGAGAGTAATCGTTTAACATTGGCGAGTTTCAGAATTATGAGGCTCGTCGCCAATAGCCATCGTGTTGCTTCGAAATGTTACACACAAATAAAATGGAGTTTAATGTGCTCCTTCTGCTCGGTAGTGTGAATATTCGGTAACGCTTGGAAGGACAGAGGAGAACATTAAGCAATCGAAGCAGAACATAATGAATGCACGATTCACGGTGTCTTCTGGAAACAGTTTTTGACATCTTAAAGACGTCACTATAGATGTCAAGATGCTAATAAACAATATCAACGATTGCTGTAAAGAACAATGCTTTACCGTGTCAAGTTATTATCGATATCAATTTCAGATCGTCATCCGAGTTGTTTGAGAATCGTCTGTAACGAGAGAAGGAGAGAGAAAAGATTAATGTGTAAGGGGGAAAAGTCGAGCAATTTGATTCAATTTTAATTTGATTTAAATCTCACTCTAAAGAAGCATGATGGCTCTTGGTGACAGGCCTCTTAATTTTGGACAAGTTTAAGTGACACTTAGCTGACATTCCATCCTCCAAACTTCCACGCTAACAGAGGACTTTGAGCAGGGACGTAGCTACCGCCATATGAATGATACAGGGCCCCCAAGCTACAAGGGGCTTAACATGTGTAACTATAGTCCCACTTACAAGGCTCTCACATCTAAACAAGGGCCCAGAAGGAATTTTGATATAGGGCCCACTCTAAATTAGCTACGCCAGTTCTTTTGACCCTTAACAGATCACGCATCAGCAGCACTATGACACGACTAGATAACTCCGTTCACGATCATGATCACTCAGCTACCGCGGTCACAGAAATTCGGCCAAAAAATCTCTTTGAAGCACAGGAGCCCAGATAGGAAAGTTAAGAAGCGTGTGCTTAGTTTGAAAGCTGTTTTCTGAATACCACAACAATCATATATTTTCCAGAGTAGCAATTTGGAGGGGAACTTGTATTGCTGATTTGAGAATCATTGTGAATAAATTTTAAAACAAATGTCACTACTGCTTTACCGCGTTTGTATTACAATATGAGTTTAAATTAAAAAGTTCGAAACAATCTGTGGTGTAAAGGATAGTTTATGGTACCAGAAAGGAAGAGAAAGCAAGAAATAAAAAGTTTCAGTTTCTAAGGATTATCCATTTTGGATTCAAATTCTCAGGAAGTTATCTATGGTGATTTGTTTATTTTTAAAAATAGATTTAATTATATATATATAAATTTTCGGTTGCTGAAAATTAATTTTTCTTCTAGTTTTAACTGTAGTCAATGCTTGACTGTGACTGAGAAATTTCATTGCGGAATGATAACATGATCTACGAGATTGATATGTTGCTTACGTACGTATGTTTACTTCTAAATAAAATTAGTTTCGATTTTAAACCATCATGTTTTATAAATTAAAAATAGTTTTAAAGGCAGTAAATTCGAAAGGATATTCACTATATTCGAAATTATTATTTTTCTTAACAAACATGAATTACAAATTAAATCCATGAAAAGTCGATTATTTATGTAGCAAAATAGAGTTAGTCTCTTTTATTTAAATGATCATTTCCTTTTCAGATGAATTTAACATGATAAAAGTCGTGCACACTATAATATTCAAACATATGTTATTAAACCGCGATTTTTATATAAGTTTTGATGGGCGTGTATAATCATTTATCTTGATGTAAAATGATGGTTTTTATCCCACAAAATAGTTTTATTTTGTCTTTTTCTAAAGTTGAAATTATATTATTTTAGTATCTGAAATCAAACATCGATCTTCAAAATAGGATCTTAATGTAGAGGAAGATTAAAAGGTATTTGTTCCATATTTTATGATCTACATTTGTTTTCAGATGGTTGAATTTTTCAGAATTATTCAAATGTGTGAACTAAAGAAAAAATGATAATATTTTAAAACTTTCTTTCGTATAAAACATTAATGATATTTCTTAAACAGAGTTTGGGTGTTTTCTAAGAATAAAACTTATATGTGGGTGATACATTATGAGTGTATATGTATAATCATATTGTTTTTTAGAATTTCTTTTGATTTTCAAAGTTTTAATTCTGGATTAAACTGCTAATGATTAAGTTGTATCTTGTTTTAAGATGATAAAAAACAGTAATACAAATTTGATAAGAAGTGAATTTTTATAGTTAATTAAAGAAAAAACTGTCATGATATTCTGAAAAGTTTAAATTGTAATGAACATCTAGTTTTTTTATATTCATCATTATATGAAATACAATCCTTCATGTATTTTTAATATAAAGTTTATAATTTAAAAATGTTAATGTTATATTTTTAAATGTTTTATATGGTTTATTTTCATGTATTTTAATACAAAATTTCTTATTCTTTTGAGTTTGGAACTAATTTTTGATACAGGTATGCTACTAATTTTTGACCTAATTTTAAAACCACACTACATAAATTTTTTGCAGCAAGTCTAAGTTTATTGTATTCTAATGTTATTGTCCCGACAGTAAATTTGTGGAAAAATTTGTTGTGTACCAATATGAAATTAATTCCTTAAGTTCAACTGTAGAGTTATAAGATTAGTTTCATGCAAAACACACTTATTTTTAGTGAAAAAATTATTTAAATGGGAAAAGTTTCTTTGTAAGTTATAAAAATGAATTAGTCAAAATTTTTGCATGATCATCATCCATACACACAAAAGGTTTGGATCTGTTGGAGGGCACATAATAGTCCCTCATGTTACTTTGAAAAGTAACTTTAATTACTAGCCAATCAAAAAATCAGCTACGTAACAATGCCCAAACTGAATTTTGAGCTTACAGGATTCATGATAGTGTTGAAAAAAATTGGTATATACTGGATTAAAACATCTATTTATTTTATATTATATACAGATATTATTATATTATTTTATATTATATATGTATTATCGCGCAACAGTCACCAACTTTATTAATAACTCGCCAAGTTGGTAACCTTGATTTCATATTTGTTGTATGCACTGAATTGGCAACCAGGTGCTTTGTTTCATTTAATGTTGCCAATAGGTTGCGATAATATGTAAGTCCCAGTTTTTATTTTTATTTGCAATTACTAGCAAAATATGTAAAACTCTGGTTAATAATTTTGCAAAGTGAATAATACATGAACTTATCAGTACTAATTATTGATAAATACAATGTAAGCATTGGAAAGAGGAAAAATGTATTGTTAATTATAACATAAATTAATAAAATGGTATTGCCATTTAAATAATTCTAGGGTTGTATTAAACTTACAAAAATGGCATTTTTTGGTCGGTAAAATTATTTTTAAAGTGGGAAAAAAGTTTATTTTAGTATTGTTCTATTATTTATTTTATTTTGTTATTAAACTCATAATTGTATTAAATTTTGCATTAAAAGGAGTTTAAGTTATTAAGTTAAGAAGATTTTAAGTTAAGGAGAATTTTTAAAAAAAATTTAATAAAAATTTCGGTAAAATCCTAGGAAAGCCTACACCCTTGGCGACAAAACGAAAAAGCGCCAAGCCAGAACAAGATGGCGCCAAGCAAAACCGACAATGGTGGCAAGTGAGTACAGAGAGATAAGGTGGATGCGTAATGAAAATATATGTAAACAATACAGAAATTAAGCATTTAAGATAAAAAAAAAATATAAAAACAACACTTACTTCCTTACTGCTGATCTTTTCCAAGTGGAGGGTATAGCATAATAACAGATTTTAAAAAAGTCTTGAAGGTCTCATCACTAAGTGAATGATCATGTGAGCGCAGCCATTTTTATTCAGCGAGGTGATGGTCGAACATACCTTCGACGTGGCTGGTGCAATTTCAAAGAAAGCGTTTTATTGTCAACCGTGTTACATCATGCCGATCTGTTACATTTAGGACATTCATAACTCTAAGCAATCAATCCTTCCTTCATACACTATTCAATCAATTCTTTCTAACCTTTCGCATTCAACAAAGTAAAAAATTCTAAGATATACTCCTTCACACACACAACCATTCCAGCCCGGTTCCCCCAAACAAAATGAAATTTGAAATGCCCGCCGACAAAATATGAAATTTTCAGAAATAGTTAGATTTACCATATCTAGTGTATCAAAGTAGGGTTACCAAGATGGTACAATTATCGCCAACTCAAAATAATTCGCGCCAAGGGTGTGGGCTCTCCTAAGACTGAACCAAAATTTCTTTTATAGTATAGAGTAGTGATTCCCAAAGTGGCTTGAGTAGGGTCTCTTTGACAACCTACAAGGGGTCCACGTCAGCGAAAAAATAATTTGGCATCCATGAGGTGTAAATGGGGGCTACGATAGCCTAAAACGAGATGGTGACTTTAATTTTAAAAGAAAATTTAATGAAGTGTAAATGAGATTTACCTGTTTAACAGCCTTATTTACTAAATTTACTGGGGTTAATTTTCAGTTGCA